ATTTAGGCTTCGCGGTCGTCTCGCAATGAACCCCGCAGTCAAGCTACATGCAGAAGCCTGGAAACTCAGTCTGCTCCCTTCATGACCAAATTTGAGCAGCAGTATAGATCCAAGCGTGAGACTTTGACAGCACGTCGTCCGCTTTAGGCGGGCTTCAGGGCTTGAGGTTTTGGGTCTAAGGGTTCTGCCTGCTTCTCAAAACAAATGGAAACCCCTCCTTGAAGGTCCTTTTTGCAGCTAGTCGTGTACGGGGGCTGCCTAGAGGTATACATTAGGAGGACCCCCCCACCCTGTAATAGTGGTATAATAGGAATATAAGAGGACCCTAATATCATCCCTATTATCCCCTATAGTCACTATTACTGGGTGGGGGGTCCACCTAAGGTATACAAGCCCTAAACCCTGAACCCCAAACCATGAGGTGATACATCACATCAAGCTACAGTGAAAGGTACCTTATGCCCCCGTGTGGGGCTCAGGGTTCAGGCTTTAGGGTCTAGCGGTGGGTTGTATTTTCTTATTTGGGGGAAAGAGAGTAGCAAACAAAAACCCTCGCACAGTGCGCATGCGCTCTTTTGCCAATGCCGGATGCTTAGGATTCACTGGTGGAATCCCGCAACAATCACGCAGAGGGAGAGGGTGGACCCTGAACAAACCGAAACCCACACCCCTGGACCCTTAGATGAGCTCCTATGTCCTCTTGTTCTGTGTTCCTGAGTCAAACTTCTGATCGCGCAACCTTCAATCTGGTGTACAGGCCTATAAGCTACAGAGCCCTTTCCATAATAGATGGAACTCTAAAGCCTTAACCCTACAAGAAGATCTGCATGAATGACAACACTCCATCTGCACGTGACGAAGGCAAGGCAAATTCAGTTGAAACGATTTCCTTGCTGGTTCTTAGTAGTGATAAGGGAATATTCCATCATCCTTTCCCCCAAATAGGGGACGAGTGGTTGTATTTAGGTATTTAATATCAGGGGGCGGGGGGGGGGAGGGTTTCATATTAGGGGGCGGGGGGGGAGGGGTGGTGATTTAATGTTGAATTAATATTAGGGTGCGGGGGGGAGGGGGGGATTTAATATTAGGGGGCGACGGGGAGGGGGGAAGGGGTAGCAATTACCGTGCGACAAGAACATTGAAGAGTGGTATATAATGCATCCTGTCGAAATCTAATCAAGACAGAACAAAGGAAATCAAATAAAAAGCATTTAGATATAATGAAGTCGTAATAAATCAGTTAGAATCGAATCAAATCCTCTCTGAAAACAATTTAACATCAAATGAAACCATTTTAAATCCATTTACAAACGTATTCAAACCAAGTAGAATCTATTCAAGATCTAATCGAAATCTACTTGAAATCTAATTTAGAACGTGGTCAAGTCAAATAAAGCTATATGAAAATCTAACTAAAAACTATGTAAACTAGCTATACACTCCATCAAACTCGCATGCAGATGTTTGTATGCATTCCTTGAAAAACAATCCAAAAACAATCAAAGTCCAGGAAATGAAGGAGATCCCTAATGCTTAAGAATCGTGCTTGGGACCCCCTAGTTCAGATGATCCGAACCGTAATTAACTTTACTCTTGGCCCTTTCAAAAATAGTCTTGGGGGCAGATTTCAGAATTTCCAATTCTGGGGAACCCGTATATTATATTAGGGTGTGGGTTAATACTCGGGAGAAGGGATAAAAGGGATTTTGTAGGGATTACATTCACCTGTTCCCTACAAAGAACCAGTAAGTTGCAGGTGTGGCACGGACATGGACGCTTCCAAAAGCGTCCACGACAATTGCGAGTTTCCGAATATAGGGTTTAGGGTTTAGGGTTTCCCAAAATTAGGGGTACCTGTTTGGGAGTCCCTATAATATGGGGTGTAGTCCTTTGGGGTCTATATTGGGGCCCCCTTGCTTGGGAAACTACCAATTGTCGCGGAAGACCGCCGTGCTGCGGATGTGCGCTTCGGCGTTAGGGCTTTCGGGTCTTGGGCTTAGGGGTCGGAGCTTTACAGCCTAGGGCGGCATTGCCGCTTTTAGGATTTAGAGATGATGGTTTGGGGTTTTGGGCCCTAAACCTAGAATTGCACGTGAGTATGATTTTGGAATGTGGAGTGTAGGGAACACAGCCATGCCCAAGTAAATGGAGTATGGGAATCGCAGTAAACATGCTTGCACCCTTTCTGGCATAGATTCTGAATGACGGCAAGCCCTACAGCTGAAGGTCTATCTACAATACTCATGCCCACTTAGAGGGTCAAGGGACCTGGTAAGTAGGCTATAACTGGGGCTATACGTCCACTACAGTCCCCCGAACCTCTAGGCAACTCAGTCTGCTTTCATGGAGCCCAACAGTGACTTCAACACACCTCCCGCTTGGTCCTGGGCTTTCCGGATGTCCTGTCAGGGTTTAGCTTTCAGGGTTTCAGCGATCTATACCCCTAAACCCTAAACCCTAAGCCCATATAGAATGATACAGAAGCAGATCCGGAGAGGTGTTGGGATATCCAGGATTTAAGCTTCAGGTATTTTGTCCAGGGTCCTAGGTCGTTGGAGTTTAGAGCTGTAGGGCTTCAAGATTTAGGGTCTTAATGTAGACCCATGACTAATAAACCCGCCTTCATATTAGGATCCTTATTATAACCCCAATCAATGGGAGGGGGTTTATTAATCAAGGGTTTACATTAAGGTCCTAGGGCTGGGGCTAATGCTGGATTTGGGGCTTTTGGGGATTTGGCTACCATGCAAAGATCAAGTCTCCTGGGGACTCACAAGAAGGGTTTAGGGTTCAGGGCGCGGGTGAAGAGACTGTGAAGGGCCAAGCGCTGAATCCTGTCTTCCTTGCCTAGACCCTAAACCCATTTCCACCTAGACCCTAAACCCTAAACCCTAAACCCTAAACCCTAAACCCTGAACCCTAAAACCCATCTCCAAGACCAGCACGGAGATTATGCTTTCCTCTGCTCTGGTTAGTAAGGAATGTGGGAAAGCAGAAAAGAAGAACTAGATTCAATCGGGGCATATACACATATAACATATATATATATAGGGACTGATGTCATTCCTTCCTAACTAAAGTGAGAATACTGCAATCTGCTTGGTGTGCCCGCGCCACATAACAGATCTTCTCATCAGCCGTTCTAAACCCTACACCCCTAAACCCTAAACCCCTAAACCCTACACCCTTTGCAAGACCTCTTACAGTCTGGAAGATGCAAGCGGTGCTTGCGGGTTTCGGGATCGGGTTTCCGGGATTAGGGGCACCAGGCACACAATGCATAAAATCGAAGTAGGCCTACCGGGTTTAGGGTTTAGGGTTTAGGGCTTAGACTATAGCCTAAGTAGACTTGTAGTCTCCATTGTCTTTGCCATCGTTCTAACCCTACATAGTCTCTAAAATGCCGTTAATCCCTTGCTCCTGAATCTAGGTTTCCAGATCTCAAAGGTGCGTTCTCTGAATTCTGACCATCGTTTCGGAGAGGAGGCAGAAAGTTTCTTGCTTATGACACACCCAGACTTTCCGAAACTTGTGGAGTCCTTGGGCAGGGCCTTAAATACGAACTGCTTTATTGGGGGCATGTAAAGGTACCGCTTTAGAGACCTCGAGGTCGTTCCAAGAGTTCCTGGCAGCACAGCAGTACACCATGGCCACTTCAGTAGAGCTATTTCTAACCCTACGCCATAAAGGGGGTTCTCAAAATTAGGGTTGCCTTTTGGGGGGGGTCCTTTATATTAGGAATTGTATTATTTTGGGGGTCGACATTGGGGTCCCCTTACTTAGGGAAACTACCATAACTTCTGGGTACTTAAACCCTAAGCCCTATGACTCCAGGCCAAACCCCTCAATCCTGTCTGCAGGTGGGAGGGCTTCCTAACAATACAGCCCGGGTTGAAACAACCCTAAGCCCTCAACCTACTTACACATCTCGGCCTTAGGATTGTGTAGGCTATCCCAAGTATAAGCAGTTTGGGGTTTAGGGTACTTACTAAGTACGAATAAAGGGGAGCGTACAGTAAGTTCCCGCGGTCGAGATAAAAACTGAATGCTAATTGCCTCCTAGTTAAGCCCCCATGAACTTGCAAGTAGGAGAGTCCAAAATAGACTGGAAGTCCGAACAAGAGGCTTCTGCCCCCTAATCCTGAACCCTGTCAAGCCTCTAAGTCCCTAAACCCTACACACTAAACCCTAACTAAACCCTACCCTGTACATCGAAAACAGCGAATCCTTGGCAATCCGAGCCATGAGGTAACGATCCGGGTCGGCCGCCTGTCTCTCTTGCAGCTCCTTGATGCCTACACGGGCGAAGGGCTTAGGGTTTAGGGTTCGGGGTTTAGGGTGTCAGGTTTAGGGTGTGGGGCTTGGGGTTTAGGATTAAGGGTGTATGTTGGGTTCAGGATTCAAAGTTATCATCTCTCAACTGGATGTCTATGCGCGGTGCTGATGGACTCTCTCAGGTTCGATAGGGGGTGGTCAGAATGTCTATGAGGACTCTGAATCTTTTCACGATTTGTGTAGCTCTGTCGTGTCTTCAGATAGACGAGGGGAACAGCATACGTATGTAGTACATATCAAAAGGTTGCTTAAGATAATTGTAGATCACATGCGATGCTCCTCATAGTTCCTTTCCATTGAACCCCTGAATCAGAGGGATATGCGGGGGCTATCAAGAGATGAGACAGTACCCTTTCAGAAAACAGATGGAAACACCTCTGAAGATTCCATATATTAGGGTTGCATCCTGCTGCATACAGATCACGTCACACCACATGAGGATTTATGGGGTCGGGGACATTTTGCAGAGGTTGTGCGGGCAGTGTGAGGGTTCAGGCGGACATAAATCAGGTCCTGCTTTCTGATCCGCAATAGTTTCCTAATCCCGTCCCCTAACAATAAACCCACCACCCCATATTCAAAATAAGGGCGGTAGCCTAAAAACTAGCATCCACGAATCAGGTCGGCTAGAACTCTCCTTTGTAATCAAAGCCAAATCAAAGCCATCATGCTAGAAAACTCTTAAGCTCCTCGATGACCTTTTTCCCTGACCTAAGTAAACGAAGTAAACCCTCCCCACCTTTCTCGATAGCGGCTTTTGTTTTGTCCCGAACTTCTTTGGCAAACTCTGTGTTATCAGCATCTCCCCCGTACTCTTCCGTGGAAATGGGCTCGCCAAACCTGAGTTGTTTAATAGTCTTGTATAAGGTTATATAAGGACTAAATAGAGTATATATTGGGTTTGTAATATAGGGTTTTAAGAGGGCTTTATAGAGCTTCTGTGAGCTATCATCTAAAAACTCCAAGTATCCCCCTTAGCAACCCCTACACAACCCCCTTTAAGGAGTTTAGACTATAGCTCAAACAATGACAGCAGACACGTACTGTCGTGCGTTGTATGGCTGTCCACTCATCAGATCTGGAAATATCATCAAACCTATCATACTAAGTTTTGTGAGCAACTTCCACCTTACTATTACTGGTAATTGCTTTCACCGTCCATAATCAGGTGTTTTATTATTGCAGCTGTTGTTGTTGCTGTTGTTGTTGGCGGAGGCCGTGGCAGTGGCGACGGTGGTGGCTGTGGCCGTGGCCGTGGCGACGACGGTGGCTATGGCGGTGCACGGCGGCGGCGGTGGCGGTGGGGCGGCGGTGGCAGTGTAGGTGGCGCCCCTGAAAAGGGGAGGGGCCAGCGCCGGTGGCCGGCCGGTGAAACTTCGGTGGCCTCGGTGGTGGGATGGTGGCGGCAGTGGGGTCCCCGTAGGGGCCCCAGCAATTCCTGAAAAATATCTAAGGGCCCATATAATCATTGGGGCCCATACTTCCAACCCAAGGTAGCAACAGCAGCATCACGAATGGCAGCCACAGCAGCAGCTGCTAGAAATCCAACTGTTTGTCGGATATGTACCATTCTTCCCCTTCGACCTTCGGCACCCTCTGAAAACCGAGACCTTGACAATTCTCACGGCCCAATTAAGTTGGGGCCTAGATGCCAGAAGTAAATCTTCTGGAGAGAGTTGGGAGCGGCCACCGGCAGGGAAGAAACGGGCACGCTGCCTTTTAGGAAGCTCCTTTGTCGCTGCTTCAAAAGTTTTGAGCTGCAATCAAATCTACGGATTTTTGCTTCCGGGTTGCTGGATTCGAGGTTGTTGTCAGTGTTTAGGGCTTACGGATAAGAATTCAGGGTTTCTTATTTCTCTGTGAGCACTCATAAACAGACACTGAAAACAACATCGATCAAGAATGACAAGGTTCAGAGGCAAGTCAAAGATGATATCAAGCATATCCTGGCTCGCATGTCATAGTCCTATGTCTCTCATACTTACTACAACGTATACATATATATATATACATATATCCCTAAGCCCTGAATCCTAAACCTAACGCTAATGCTTAATAGAATGCCTACCTAGGATCTCTGGGGTAAAAGTTTGCAGGTTTCAGGTGCAGGGGCCGACCCCTCAACCTCAAGCGTGAGCTTCCAAACATTATGCCTACATAGAGGGTTCCAATAATTGAGAGCCCACTGAAGGTGATATGTAAGGCTTTTGCAGGGATAGCTGTATATATATATATGTAGATATGTATATACATTATACATACGAACATACTGGGATGCACAGGATTTAGGGATTAAGAAATTAGGGGGCCCTTCATTCAAACGTGATATATGATGTATAGAATTCTTGGGGAGTCTTATAGGTAAACCCTAAACCCTAAACCCTAAAACCCTTAACCCTAAACCCTAGGAAGCCTAGGGAATCCAAGACTTAGGGGTCGGTTTTCATATGGACCATAGGGTTTGTAGGGTTTAGGGTTTAGGGATAGGGTATAGTATATGGGGAGTACATTGAGGCCCCCTTCCGATAGACAGACCTCATCACCCCTTGTTAAAACCCTGTGTAAATGTGTATATATATATATATTTATTTATTTACTTATTATATACGTATATGTTCACACACACACACACCCTGAAGTGAGTCCTCGTTGCCTACGCACGCACAAGGCATGATTGGATAACGATTCTTGATTGCCATCCGCGCGAATCCCAGCCGCTCCTTCCACCTCGGGGCGTGCTATCAGGTTAATCCCTCTAACAATCCCCGTATTATCCTCCAAAATTGTACCTATACGTCCTCTCCCACTCCCCTTCACTGTCACCAGGAAGTATGTAGGGATCAACAAGGGAACCAAACAAGGACTGCCTACGGATCGTATTTGAAACCCGGGCAATGAAGCTTTAAGAAACATGTTCGTAGGTAGGGTTATAGTCCCCCTTAAGTAGAGCGAATATGGCTTTGGGTATATTCTAATAAGATCCCCATATACCCCAGATTCTATGTACTTAAGGGGGGCTATAAGGGTTCAGGGTTTGGAGGCTGAGATGAAGAAGGCTGCAAGCTTCAAGCTCTACAGGGTAACACACTGGGTCACATACCGCCCAGCCTTCTGCGATACCCTCCTCTCCTACACAAATCCGCGCACAAAACCATACAGCCTGCTTAGGGAGAGTTGGAGAGTGGATCCGAAGTAAACCCCACATATACCCCTATAACCATAACAGTCCCTATATTCATCTCCCCACTCCCCCTCAAGCACCAGTAATCATGGGTTCTCCTACCACCACCGCCCCCCTATACTACGCAGGCTAAGCCTAATCATACCTAAACAACCTTAATGAAAAGGGGAACCTAGGAGGGGTAAGTTAGAGTGGTGTAGTAGGGGAACCCAGGAAGCAAGAGAATTTCAAACCGGGGGCATGAGCTCATACTTCATCGCGGTCTTCCTGGGTTGCTGTTAAAGAACTTAAATTAAGCTACCATCATAAGGGTATGTACAATACAAAACAGGGTGTCCTTAGTTGAGTAACTTAAGTTGAAGGTTCTAATATGGGTACATAACAATACGAAACAGAGTATCCTTATGTGAGTAACTTAAATTGAAGGTCTTCACAGGGGGATATATAAGACAAAACAGGGTGTCCTTGAGTAACTTAAGTTGAAGGTTCTAATATGGGTATATAACAATACGAAACAGCGTATCCTTAAGTGAGTAACTTAAGTTGAAGGTTTTCACAGGGGGATATATACGACAAAACAGGGTGTCCTTGAGTAACTTAAGTTGAAGGTCCTAATATGGGTATATAGCAATACAAAACAGCGTATCCTTAAGTGAGTAACTTAAGTTGAAGGTTTTCACAGGGGGATATATACGACAAAACAGGGTGTCCTTGAGTAACTTAAGTTGAAGGTCCTTAATGATGGTAATACTGGGATTATAAAGGGTAGTATAGGTCATATAGGGACAATATATGGACAATATAGGGATAATATATAGGTCATATAAGGATAATGGAAAATAGAATGGAAACTACTCTAGTGGGGTTTAGGGTTTAAGGTGGGGTAACCCCAAACCCTAAACCTTAAACAGTACACCCTAAGACCAACCCGGCTTCGGTTTGAGGATCTCTTGCCCACCGCCAGGATACACGAGGATGTTCTGCTTGTTGCGCATGAGCAGGTCCTTGGACTCTTTCCCAATGGCCTACCTGGTTTAGGGGTTAGGGTTTGGATTAAGGTTTAAGGATTAGGGTTTCGGGACTAGGGCTCAGGGTTTAGGGATAAGGGTTTAGGGAATCGGGATTAGAGCTCAGGGTTTAGGGATTAGGGTTTAGGGGCCTATATCAAAAGTTCAGATCCCGTGTCCACGTTGGGGCGTGAACCGTCGACGGCACCAAACTGACGCAGAAGTGGGCCGTGAGGACCTATCCTCTTCAGGGTCTGGGAGGTGTGGGTTGGTGGCTTCAAAGTTTAGGGGTTTCTGGGTTTAGGGTTTAGGGTTTAAGGTTTAAGCCTTAGGGTTTAGGGTCTAGGGTTTAGGGTTTCTGGGTTAGGGATTTCAGGGTCCAGTGATTTCGGGGTTCAGGCCCTGGAAGCTTAGGAAGCTAATTCTGTCACTTTCCTATGTTCCGAAAATAAAATCCACCCAAAAACGGGAATTCTTAATTTGGGCCTGAGACATGCAATGCCCGTTTCATGCTGAGCTTGGGGTTTAGGGCCTGGTGGTGGTATCAAGTTTAGGGTGTAGGGTCGTAGCATTGGCATCTTCGGGATCTCAGGCGGAATTTCTTCTATGATGTCGGGATACCCAGAACCACCCCCCCCCCTTGGCTGAAACTTACTGTACCTACATGCCCTAGATTCCCCAGACCCTAAACATCGCTGGTAATGGCGCAATCGTCATGGTCATAGTGATAAGTAGATAGTAAACGAAGACAGCAAATAGCAAGAGCACAAATGAGAACCCTAAATCCTAAATCCTAAACCCTAAACCCTAAACCCTAAATCCTAAACCTTTAAGGTCTTCCCCGGTCCAGTGAAAATGATCAGCAAGACCACGAACGAATACGCCTTTCTCCTTGGGCTCCGGCCAATAGCTTTAAACGGGGCTTAGGGTTTAGGGGAGTTCAGCGGTTGATTGCGTTTCCAGTTTGCAGATTGCAGTACGAAGGCTTATTAAGTCCTCCCACGCTCCTGCAGACAAGCGATAGACACTACCCCGATATACTGTAGGAGTTTCCGTTCTTCCATTATCCCAATATTACGTCATTATACTATAGTAGCTTCTATTTAATTCTCCACTATCCCAGTATTACCCCAATATACTATAGTAGTTTCCATTTCATTTCCCATTGTCCCAATATGTAAACCCTAAACCCCAAAATACTAGCAGCTTCCGCTAAAGCCTAAACCCTAAACCCTAAGAGCTGCATAAAGCTTGGGTTTGAGGGTTTGGGTTTGCAATTGCGTCTAATGCTTACGACTTCGCACTTGGGGTGGTCATGCTGGCATAATATAGGATATAGGTTATATAGGGATAGTATAAGGATAAAATACTGATAATATAGGGATAGTATAGGTTATATGAGCTACTGTCTAAACTCCTAGTATCTCCTTAATAACCCCTATAGTAGTTCCCTATATAAGCCCCTATATAACCCCCTTTAAGGAGTTTAGACTATAGCTCATATAGGGAAGGGTATGCCAGCCATCCTGTTCCTGCATGCAGGAGGAAGAAACCCTGCAGATTGCTACCTAGCCCGAGCCTGGAACAGGCGGCTGGCGGGGAGGGAAGTCATTCCGTATCTGCTCTGCGCATGAAGATAGGTGTTTTGACCATATACTCTAGGCTCTAGTGATTGAGGTGAGTCCGCTACTCGGCCCACCCCCGCGAAGGTGATGAAATCAGCTGGTGTTCCAAGGATGGAACAATCACTTACTTCCCCTCCACAATCCCTGCTACAACTATGAGTGCTGAACTCCGCATTGCCTTATTCTTGGGCATTTAAACCCTCCGCAGAGTCGCTGACCCTACACCCTAAACTCTACACAGCATGGCGACCCCAAACCTTACCCCAGAAAGGCTCCAAGGGAAGTTCGAAACCCTCCTGAGCTCGCGTACCGACGAAACCTATGGAAACCCCAAACCCTAAACCCTTAACCCTAAACCCTGTCGGTTCACATGGCCAGACTGAATGGATGCGGGACAAAAGTCCATAAAAATTAGAGCCTTTTTAGGGTTTAAGGAAATATTCCCCTATTTCCTTCCTAATTTAAAACCCAAATATATCCTGTATTATAATGCAGTAGTTCCATTCCACTGCCATTATTCCCTACATAACCCCAATATTTCCGCGTTCCCTGTAAAACCTTTTTCACCTTCCCCGAATCCAGTGATGCAGTCCCTACAGGCCAGCTGCAAGCCGCGATCCGAGCAGCTTCCGGATGCAGAATTTACTTTAACTGAAGAGGAGCTCGAGTAAGAAGATAAACACATATCCCCAGGGCGGAAACCCCTTTTCGTTCAATCTGACTTAACATTCTTCTACCTTTTTTCGTGAGCTGGCAGAACTGGCACAATTGACTGTCACTGTCGCGCTGCATTGCGATCCCCCCTAAACCCTAAACCCTAAACCCGAACAAGGACACATCACAACAAGAGTCCTATTTCAAAACCAAGTCGCAAGGTAAAGAAGGTGAATAAATGCCGGCATCTCGAAACCGTAGAGGGAGTGGTTCATCACGTAGAAGCATGGATATGCAGGGACGTGTTCCTCAATTTCCGCATCACTTCATGAACATGGCCCTCAACCCTGAACCCTAAACCCTTGCGGTTCTTGCTGTCGACGGATGCCAGGTGTAACTTTGCACACAAACGTGAAAAGCCACAGCCACAGCACTGCTATATTATCCCCCTGTAATGGAGAATCAAATGGAAAAGAAAATGGAAAATGAATTGGAAATTCGGAGAATGTAGGGGATTGAACCAACTGAAACCCTAAACCCTAAACCCTGAACCCTAAACCCTAAACCCTGAACCCTAAACCCTAAACCCTGAAACCTGAGTGATGTTTGGAGCCTAGGTGCTAGGCCCATCACATCGTACTTGAAGAGGCCGTAGTAGGGGGTCAGCAGCTTGTTCATGGCTTCGAGAGGTGGGGGGGTCCAGCTGAGGATGTCTTCATCCATAACCTTGGCCCATTGAGATTCTATGGGGTTTAGGGTTTAGGGCTTAGGGTTCAGGTTTAGGGTTTAGGGTTTAGGGTTTAGGGCCATTGAGATTATATGGGGTTCTGTAGGGATAATATGGGGGCTATATACAAACTATCTAGGGTTTGTATGAGGATTCTGTAAGGGCTTGTTAATGGGGATCAGGTAAGGGGCTATACATGGATACGTGAAGGCTATATAGAGACCTAAAACACGGGCTGAATTGGAAGAAGTCCAAACGCTGAACTGCAGCAAGCTTGTACAGCTGCCTATACAAACAACCACGTGCAATGAGGTCGAGACAATTAGCTGTCAAAAATCTTGATGCGCTTCTTGCGAGGGTTCGGGTTCAGGTTTAAGGTTTCCCCGAAAACTTCACGGGGCTTCCTGGGATCACACGCCATCGCAACGTACCGGATGGAAGCTAGGCAAAAGCCCCTCCAACTTCTTACTGGTGGTTCGTAGGGAATAAGGGAACACATTACATAGGGACTCTGTAGGGATTATATTCCCTTATTCCCTACCAACCACCAGTAAGACTTTCTTTGGAGCAACCCAGCGCGAAGTAAAACCGCAACTCCGTCCTTGGCATAGAAGAGCCCTAAAGCCAGCCTGAGCCCCTAAGCCCCTAGGGTTTAGGGTTTAGGGTTTAGGGTTTAGGGCCCCTAAGCCCTTGGGTTAATCCCCCACTCAGTAATGGGCACCACAATAGACTTTTGTAGGTATATCGAGGCCTTATTAACTCTGTACTTAGGGGCTATAACTGTAGGGGGAATCGACCTAACTCAGCCCAACGTTAAACCTGCCAGTCCTGAATTCTACATTCCAGGGTGGATGTAGGAAGGAAAAGCGTGGCGTCGGGGAAAGTGGGCAGAATGAAGAAGCCTTACGAAAGTGGTTTAGGGTTCAGGGCTTACAGGTAGGTGGTGTGCAAAATGGAAATTGCACACTCTACCTTCGCATCTGGGTAACGGAAGGGAGGCCTCTAAAGGAGATCACGTACCTTCCAACTAGAGTCCCCCTTAAGTAGATAGAATATGGCTTTGGGTATATTATAATAAGATCCCCGTATACCCCATATTCTATCTACTTAAGGGTTTCCCTTTTCCCAAACGGCAAGCTTGTAGTCTCAAATCGATGTTTTCAAAATTGGAAATTCAGGGAACTAGAAGTACGTACTGGTCCATTGTTTAAGGGCTGCTATGGGCTACTAAACAAGGACGAGACTTTTGACAGGCCATCATAAAGCCCGCCTGAGACCAAAGTCCTATACCCCAAAACCCTGGCCTCCTGCTCAAGCTCCATCATCTTCGTAGGTCCAAAAGTACGCAGAATATGTACTACCTTGCTTGGAGGCTTATCGAGTTTATTCAGCAAAAGAGGACAAACTCCAGAAGAAGGACTCCCTTCAAGGGGATTACGGGTTGTTAGAGGGTCTGTCCCACATTCGGGTCTCTCTGAGTCTAGGGTTTACATGTAGGGTCAAGGGGACTTAGTAAGTATGCATAGAACAACCACCGTTATCCCGATTGTTGACACAACTACTAAGTTCCCATGGCCCTCCAAGGGTTTAGGGTTTAGGGCTTAAGGTCTAGGATTCAAGTGGGATATATGATATAGGTACCCATTGGGGTAATATTAAAATTTGGGGTGATATTGGGATCATGGAAAAGAAAATGGAAACGACGATTTAGGTTCCATTGTGGTAATATTTCAAGTTTAGGGTTTTGAGGTTTCGGGGATAGGCTTTGGCGCCTAGGGTTTAGAGCTATGGTTCGGGTTAAGGCTTAGACCTGGCAAACTTCTACCTGGCTTTGGGGCCAAGTATGGGTCAGATTTTGACAAAGAGTTGTAGTGTTTAGGATTAAGGGTTAATGTTTACGGTTTAAAGTCTCAAGCTTTGGGTTGAGAGGGGGGGGGACCGCTTAGAGGGCGCCAAGCATTAAACCTTCAAGCAAATCCCAACCCCCAAATCCAGAACTGAACCTGCAACTGTAATCCTAAACCCTGTAACCCAATACCCTAACTCCCTAAGTGCTCTGTCCTAAAACCCCTAAGCCCTGAACCCTGTACCCTCCCTAAGTCCTTGAACCCCCTAACCCTGAGCCCTTCAACGCGAAACCCCATCCCACAAAAGACTCCAAACTCCTAATCCCAAACCGTATTCCATGTTAGTTCGGGGAAAACATGGCCAGCCATGCCTTCATGAAGACCGGTGCAAAGGTTAAGGTGAAGAAGGCCGCAACACAGCGAGTCCGCATGGCCTAGCGGTTGAGGATTTGAGTGATTCTAAATACTAGGGATCTGTTGCCTAGGCTCTAGGACTTAGAGGATGTAGGGCTATCGTTGAGGCCTTAACCCTAAACCCTAAACTCTAAACGGTTCGGGATTGAGGGCTTAGAGCCTAGAGTTTCAAGTCATAGCCCGCCTGTGTGGGGTGCACCTGGAACCTGCAGAACCTTTAACTTTAGTGTCTTAGAATTTCAAGGTTGGGCTTTAGGGTAAGACCCTATACTACCCCCCCCGCCACCCAGATTAGCCCCAAAAGAAGTTTGCCTAAGGGTCATTGCTAGTGTGAGGGTAAGATACGATCCTGGTAGATGTTTGCGCGGATTGTTCGACGAGTACATGTAGGGTTGACGGTTGAGGCTGACGCTTTCGGGTTCAAGGCAATTCTCATAATAGTTTGGGGTTTGGGGTTTAAGGTTCTAGGCAGTTCTAAAGTTTACATGCTTTACTCTGATGGTGTTCTCCCACCAGGTGAGCAAAAAAGTAGGATGTAAGCCTCAGGGTAATTCCACGCACTAAGCCTCAGACTAATAAACTAAACAACTACTCCCGAAATCTCTGAACTCTCAAAAAAAATCTTTAACTACCACAGAGAAAAGTTGTAGGCATTTGAATACTACACCCCTGCCCATGGGTATAAGCCTCTGGTACTAACTGCGAGCGAGCCGCAAGATCATGCGAAGTGAAGTTGAAGCTTAACCTCAGGTCTACAGCAAGGTAGGTTTCAGGTTTTATGGTCTAGGGGGAAGCGGTTATGGTTTAGGGTTTAGGGTTTAGGGTTTAGGGTTTAGGGTTTAGGGTTCAGGTTTTAGGGTTTAGGGTTTAGGGTTGCAAGGCTAACATGTAGCAGGCTTAGGGTTCTGGATATAAGGCTGGGGTCTTGGGGTGTAGAAAGTCCAAGGTGTAAGCCTGTGGCTCTCGTTGAATGCCACGAATCTGAAGAAGACCTTCGACATTATTCAGGCCCGCATATCATGGAAGCTTTCCTGAAAGGAGGAGAAAACTAAACGTATGCATGCAAAGTTCATACATGGTAGTTTCCAGAAAGAGGCGGACCCCAATGCAGACCCCGATATACTATAATCATTGTTATAGAGACCCCTAAAAAAATACCCCTAATTTGGGGAAACCTCCAAATGTTGAATGCACCTTCTGGGGGCTTGAGCTTGCTTGCTCTAAGGGTATAGGGTTCGGGTAACCCCGTCCCCTGATACTTACAGACACATCCCCCCACGCTCTCAATGACAGATATTCCACATGCGGTACGACAGTATAGCGAGGGATGATCTATTATGAGGATGTGGGGCCGTGGGGGATTCTCTGTTGGGGACAGTCACCCTAAACCCTCAACCCTAACCCCAAACCCCAAACCCTAAACGATAAATCATAAATCCTAAACACTTAACCCTAAAACCTAAGCACATCAGGAACCAAGCAGCATGATAAAGATCCCAAGGAAAGCCCCCATGGCAAAAACTTGCACTGGCTTTCGATCGAAAAGGATCACCGCGGCCTTGTAGGTGATCCTGAGTGAGTTTAGCGTTTAGGGTTTAGGGTTTAAGGTTTAGGCGCTTAAACGGGGTTGCTGCTAAGGAACTTGAGTTAAGCTGGCATTCGTAGGAAACCAAGTTGTTTAAGAGATTTCGAAGAGCTACAGTCAATACTTCCTACATGATTCATGGACATGGCTTCCTTATTAGGGA